AGACCAAGGGAAATAGCAGATACATGGGTAAATAAAGTAATTGTTTAACCCTATTAAAATAACATTTCATGAGATCAAAATGTATAGCAGTAATAACAAAATGCGAGATATGGTCAATGGCATTAAGGTGTTCTACGATCCTATCAGGTATAAAAAGTAGAAATAGTTAGCTATTAAAGCGAAGATATATGTGATAGTCTCTGGGTAACCATTAAAGGATTGTGAAAGTACGTATAACTAAAACTTATATAAAAAATATGTAATAAAATGATTCAAAAGAAAAGAGAAAAAAAGAAAACAGGTAGGACAGATATAAATACCAAGACAGTATATATAAACCAACTACATCTCTAATTACATTATGTCAATGGAATACTCTATTCAAAAGAAAAATACAGTCAAACTGGAGGAAAATAACTACAGATTGCATATGATAAACACACCTTCAATAAAGATACAAAATTAAAAGGAGAGAAATTAAAAGGAAATTAAAGGAGAGAAAAGGTATAATATGGAAAATCATCCGAACACTTAACAGAACAAAAGTCCAAAGCTAGTATAGCTATAATGTTATCAACAAAAATTGCCATTAAGGAAAACAGCACTACTAGGGTTAAAAAGGAGTCTTTAATGATGACAACACCATGTAGATTTAACAAGACCTATCTTCAAAATATATAACAGTAAGCAGAAGGAAAAACAGCAAGCCCACTATCAAAATGAGATTGTAATATATCCCTCTCACTAATAAAAAAATGTGAATTGAAAAAATTTAGCATGAATGCAAAATTTCCAAATAGCACAAAAATGACCTAGTGACATGTTTGAGCACTACACCCAACAAAAGTGAACATATAAATGAAATTGATTATAAGTGGCTTATAAAGAACTTTTAAATGGATGCAAACAAATACCTTATACATATAATAATCTCAACTAATTTATATAGCTATTTGCTCCTCAAAGAGGTGAAGCATAACTTCCAACCTATTAAATATGGGATGCACCTCACGACTTCTTTGTAAAGAGTACAGTATGAAAAGGGGGAGAAAAGTGTTACTTTACAGGGAAAAAAATGTGGCCAACGTTACCTCAGGCATGTAAACAAGGCTTAAATTCTTAGTGATAAGTCATGTATAGCCAGTAACGTTGATATGTGACAAGAATGACAATTCACCTCTATAGTCTCCCTACCAAACAATCATAATCCCTATATATCAGAAAAGGTCAATATCAGAAAATGTAGATAGACAAATCAATACAGATCCTACAATTATCTAGAGAACATGATGAATTTATGCCAATAAATCTGAAAACCTGCAAAAATTGGACAGTTTATCAAATTTGACACAAGCTATGCAAAATCTGAGTAATCCCATATTTTAAAAACTAGAATCTCGATAATCTCTATATTTAATAATCTTTCTACAAAGAGATCTTCAGGCCCATATGGCTTCACTGATAAACTCTTCCAAACATGTAAAGATGATCTAACACAAACAGTACACATAGTCTTTCAGAGAACAGAAATAAAGTATTTTCCAATTCAATTTATGAGAACAATCTAATCTTTACAGCAAAATGCCTAAGGTTATTAAGAGAAAGTATAGGAAAATCTAATTATTTCATGGTCATAAAAATCTGAAATTTAGCAAATTAAATCCAGAGAATTTTGATGCCTCAAGATGTAGCAGAGTTTAGTCCACGAATGTAAGGTTGATTTAACTTTGATAAATAAAACAATGAAATAAACCACAAGAGGGAAAAAGATCATACAATCATATCAGTAGGAACAATGTGATAAAATTCAACACCCATTCACACTAAAAATTCTTAGAAATAAAAAGAAACTACCATGCTCTATCAAAGACTATCTAAAAACCACTTTTGTCTCATACTAAGTGGTGAAATATTAAATATTTTCTAAGATTAGGAAATACATGAAGATGCTCACCATCACTGTTTCTGTTCCACAAATACATTCCATACAAATCTACTGTGTATGAATTCTATGCAAAAATTGAATTTATTAAGGCAAGCAAAAAGTTTAGATGAGAATGAAAACAGAAGAAATTCAATTTCCAGAATTTATTACATATATTCATAAAATTTAAGCAATATCAATAAATATAAGATCAATATAGAAAAAGTAAAATAATTAAAAATAAAATTTTTAAAGTTATACTATTAATAACAGTATCTTAAATACAAATACCTATAAATACATCTAATTAAAGATGCACAAGATTGTTCAATCAAAAATTATAAAGTATTTTTAAAAGAATTTTAAAGAACCTAACTAAACATAGTAACATCATATTCATGGACTAGAAGACTCAATATTATAAATATACAGTTTTTTAAATGTCCTACACACAGATTCGGTGAAACGTCAGTGAAAGTTCTAAGAGCATATTTTTATAGAAAATTAAAAACTAACTTTAAAATGCTTATGGAAATGCAAAATTGAGGAAAATTTAAGACAATCTTAAAGAACAATAAGAAACAATCAATAAGAAAATGTATCTCATAGAAGAGTTGCCAGGAAGGAGCAATTCATTGTACAACTAAGAGATCAATAAGCATAAGAAAATTGGTTCAGTTTCATGAGTTATCAGAGAAATGCAAACCCAAACCACAGTAAGATATCACTACCTACTCATCAGAATGACTAAGATAAAAAAATAAAGGAGACAATGTTAAGAGCTGGTAAAAATATAGACCAACTGTAACTAAATATGGTAGAACTACAAACTGTAGAAAAACCTCAGAAAATGTTTTAAGCAATAATGACATCCTGAAGCTGGACGATGGCCTATCAGTTTCCCTCTAACATACATACCAACTGAAATGTCTTAATAAAGAATCAATAGTAACCCGCAAGAGTGTTGGCAGCACCAGTACTCCATGTAGCCATAAAAAGAAAACAACCCAAACATCCACCTACAGTGGAACAGATAAGGAGCCAAATATCCACACAATGGACTCCCACACAGCCAGGAGGATGACTGGACTGCTGCACACCACAAAGTGGAGAAAACTCACAAACAAAAAGGGTAAGCAAAATATGATGGATATAAAAAAAATTATGTATTACATGAATTTATTTATACTAAGGTCAAGAAACACCCAACTGAACTACAGTGTTTAGAGATCCAGTTTAAGAGGCAAAACTATGTAAAAGAAGCAGGGAAATAATTATTATAGATAGCACCATGGCATCTAGTTTGGAGGGATGTAGGCTAATAAAGAAGGGAAAGAAACTGTTCCGATTACACAGGTATGTTCACTTTGAGTAATGATTGAGTACTGAAGTATATATATGTACTATATATATACACATATATATAGTGTGTGTGTATATATATATGTTACCCTTTCATTTTTTTAAAGTTTATTAAAATAATTAAATTCCAGGGGGCCTCCCTGATGGTGCAGGGGTTAAAGTCAGTGCTAATAAGCAAGCTATCAGTGGCCACTGGAGCAGCAGTTCAATCCCTGGCCAGGGAGCTACCCACATGGTACAGCAGACCTCTCCTGTCTCACCTGCTGCTCCCCTCAGCAGTGTAATTCAGCAGATCCACTTGTCGTGCTCTCCACTCTGTCTTTGGGGAATCCTCTCACCCCAGGTACCTCTGGCCTACGCCCCAGTTCTTATATGCATAAATAAAAAATAAATCTTTAAAAATTAATAATAAATTCCAGATGGATCAAAACTTAAATGTAAAACTCAAACAATAAAAACTATGTAAAATCAAAAAAAAAGGAGCCTGGAATGCAATCTACATCTGGGGGAGACTGTCTTAGTTACATATGGGGAAATCAGAGGCTCAAAAGCTACCTACAGGCAAGGTTAATTATATGAAGAAGTAAAACTCTGTCATAATATCTTTTTTTCTTACAAAATAATCTAAGTTGGATGATAAAACAAGGGTTCACATCTTATAATACACAAAGTGCAAGAGTTAAAATTAGAAAATTCATAGAATAAATCAAATATTGTATGGAAATGAACAATGATGCAAGAAAATAAAAATTAAAAAAAGATTCACTTGCATAATACCGGATGACAAAGTATTTCAATTTCTCAATATCTGAATGATTGCTGACAGCAGAATGCAAAATGAGATTCAGAGAGAGGCCCAGACAAGAGCATTCCTTACAGCACTTCCAACCAAAAGCCAATACCTAAATAAAACAAGGTACCATGTTAGCAGTAGAGAGAAGCTACCTGCTGTTGTGTACACGTGTAACTCCAAGCAGCAAAAAAGAAAATTCACAGAACAATTTCAGAATCAACACCTAAAAAGTTGTTAAAATTCTTTAGGAATCAGGAAATTCAATTTAAAATAGTAAGTCACTTTACACCCAGCCTATGGCAACAATGTTAATTTAACATGTGATCAAATATGCTAATGGTGCAGGGAAAGATATACTTATAAGTTGCTTATTGATATGTCAGTTGTTTTAAAAGCAATATGGTAACATCTATAAAAATTAAAAATACATTCTTTTCCCCAGCAGCATCACTGCTTAAAAGCTGTCTCAGAGAAAGAAAGTTATCCCATAAGTATATGGCAGCTATAATCAAGGTGGCAAGAACTGCAAAGATAAAATGGTTATCAATAGAAATTGCTGAAAACAAAATCAAAATACACTCCAACTTTTAAAAATTACACATAGACATAAAATAATAAATAGAACTATGTTATTTATCTTCATTTCTAAGATCTATGCTAAGTGAGAAAAGTAAAATGCAGAAAAATGCACATGATCTTACTTTTCCAAAGCATAGCAACAAATGTACACATTGCATTTATATACTAACACAATTATACTAAAATCACTCATGCATTGAATGACAGGCATAGCAGAAAATCTAGGCTGCTATGACCTACTGAGGACACAGGTGGAAGAATTATATGAATGGAAGGCAGGAAGGAAGGGGAGTCAATCAAATGAGGAAAAACAGGGAAAAACTACACTCAAGAATGAATGACAGGATCATATTTTATTCATATATAATTTATATGAGGTATATATAATATCATAAATCCAAAAAAAATCTACCCTTTATGCATCTGAAATATCTTTGTCTAAAAATTACAAGAAGACAGCCATGGAAAGATGAATAGAAACAAATTTAAAAGGAATTGAAACCACATAAGACTGAATGCCACTAGATGTCAGTAAAACCCTGCAATAAAGTACAGAAATAGTTTTCTTAACTGCTAGAAAAATTTTGCTCTTTTATCTACAATCTTTACCTCATAAAAGCATTTAATTTATATGTATAAATTACCAAGAATGAAGTTCCTTAAAGGCAGACAACAACCCTTAATAATATAAGGGTTAACACTGATATGTAATTCCCTATTTCCTAAATCATCTATAACGTTTTCTAACTATTTTTAAGATAATGAATTATAGGGCCTCCCTGGTGGCGCAGCGGTTGAGCGCTGGGTTGTGAAGCTGCCCGCAGCCTCTGCAGCGCCAGTTGGATCCCTGGCCACCGACGAGGGTCCCACATGGCACACAGACCTCTCCTGCCACCCGCTGCTCCCCTCAGCAGTGTACTTCGTCAGTCTGCCTGTTCTGTTCCCTGCTCTGGCTCTGGTGAATTCTCTCACCCTCCCGCGCTTCTGACCGTACCCAGTGCTAGTATAAATAAATAAATTAATTTAAAAAAAAAGTAAAAGTCTTTAAAAAAAGAAAAAAAAAGGTAATGAATTGTATTCTCTGAAAAAATGACCAATTTTAATATTCAGTAAATCAGTGTACACTCATCTTATGTGTAAACTATAGAGACAAATGGAGAGAATCATATTTATTTTTGAACTGAGAACAAAATGCAAATGTTTATAAATCATTTGCAAATAAGCTAGTACAAACTAATATACAGTTGTAAAGTTAACTATCTACAACTCAGATATAACCGTGCAACTTAGTGTCCCAAAACTGAATAAATGAATAATCAAGTCACCAGGTAGTTTAAATGTATCATACACTTTTTCACTAAACTCACACTTTACTCATTATCAAACTCCTTTACCCTTACTATCCACTTAAACATTAAATAATTCTTATGTGGTTTTTAAGGTAATTCAGTGTACCAGTTACTACCTCAAAGTCTAACGTAAAGCTTAAACTATGCTGTTAAATTCACAGAGGCCGCATCTTAGAGGCTGACATGATGGGCCTGTGGAGCTGGCTTGTCTGCACAGTGCCCACGGCCTGAGCAAGGCTCAAAGACTGGGTCTGGAACTGCTGACAGGAGACTTCTACCCACCCCCCACCCCAACCACGGGTCTCCTCAGGCTCCATGTGGTAGCTGAGTTTCTTGCATGATGGAAAAAGCCAGGACAACAGTGAGGGGCAAGTGTTTCACAAAATAAGGTGAAGAGTTCATTTTTCATGACACAGCCTTCTGAAGTCACATGGTACCAATTCTGCCTTGTGCTTCAGTCAAAGCAGTTATAAGGCTGCCCAGGTGCAAGAGAAGGGAAATCATACTCTACCTGTGGATGGCAAAGGGCAAAATCACATTGTATAAGAGCATGTGGGCAGAAAATATACCACCACAACAATCTTTGTCTAATACAATGTAACACAGTCCACTCTCTGGCCACAACAATCCATGTCATTGCCATAAGCAGAACACACCACCCCTCTCCCAAGACTCCAAAGTCTCAATCTATTATGGCATCACGACAGTCTCAGACTTCATCACCTAAATCAAGTCCAAGAGTAGAGCAGGCTCTCTGGGAGAGGGTCCTCAGGTACAGTTCCTCTTGATCTGAAGACCTATGAAACAGAGAGGCACGTTAGCTCCCACACATCCAACATGCAACTGTGCACAAGTACAGATAACTTGTGTAAGTACTCTAATTCAAAATGAAAAAAGGATACAGCAATTAATCCCAGTAAATCTCTAGTCTGATTCTTCACCTTCTGCAGTACATCATCAATTTTCCATAGTATGACAGGAACATTTTGCCAAATTTCCTTTACTTCACATTACAAAGGTCTCTGGTCTCCTTTCCTCCAGTTTCTAACATCATCTTCCTCAGCTTCCTCAAAGCTTTCGCTACTATGCTCCTTGAGACCCATCAAGTTTCCTCTCTTCAAACCCTTCCAGTTTCTGCCCACTGCTTGGTCCAAAAGCTACAGCAGCCTCTCATCTATGTTACAAAAATCTCTTTCAGCATTATGACTACCAGACAACTGACTCTAAAACCTAGTGATAAACATATTACATTCACAGATTCTGAAGCAGAAATTCTGACAAGACACAGCAGGGTTGGTTTGTCTCTGCTCCACAGTGACTGGGTCTTTGCTATGAAGACTCAAATGATGACGGCCTGGAACTCTGAAAAAAGTGCCTCAACATAGGCTCCTGTGTGACCTCAATTCCCTCACAGCAAGGCAACCTCATGGTAATGGACGTCCCACATGGCAACTCAGCACAGTATTTCAGTGAGCAAGTTAGAGGGATGCAGCCTTGCATGACTCAAGCTCACAAGTCACACAGCCTCGCTTCTCTGTACTCTGTAAAAATATACCCCCAAAGTGATACAGATGCGTAAATAACTGACAAATTATTAAAATTTCAGGGAAAAAAAAAAAACAGAATGGGGCCAGGAAATAGCATTGTGGTCATTTTGGATAATAAAATCCTTCATATCCATTTATCAAGAAATGAATAGTAAGGCCTCTCTGGTGGCGCAGGCAGTTGAGCGCAATGCTGTGAAGCTGAAAGCAGCCTCTGCAGCGTGGGTTCAATCCTGGCAGCAGGCGAGATACCCACATGGTGCAGCGGACCTTTCCTGTCTCCCTCACTGCTCCCCTCAGCAGTGTATTTCAGTCAGTCTGCCTGTTCTGTCCCCTGCTCTGTCTCTGGTGAATCCTCTCACCAACCTGCCCCTCCCCCCCACATCTGGCCTGTACCCCGGTTCTTATATGCATGAATAAATAAATCTTAAAAAAAAAAAAAAGGAGTAGTAAAGGAGACCAAAGTGCTATTGTCAAATGCATAACTATGGAGGAAAGAAATAATGGCTGGGACATTTTTATGTTTACTGCCTCTCAAAATCCTATTAAAGAATGTGAAAAATAAATAGAAGGCAGGTAGACAGGTGGAGAGGTGATGGATGGATGGATGGATGGATGAATGGATGGATGAATGGATGGATGGATGGATCAAAAGGATAAAAAAAATCAACAATGGAAACGACAAACACCATTGATGATTATTCCAACCATCTAATCTAGGAAACACTGTAGGGAAACACTCTGTCCCATTCTTAGTAGGAGCCGGCCCCCACCCTACTGTACCTTTCCCTTCCCTCTGCCTCTCCCTCTCCAAGGAAGGTAATAACTTCAGCTCTACTGTTTTGAAAACAGAATCTTGGTGGAGGAAGAGGAGTCGGTCATCAGAACCTGAAATAGCATTTTCAAGAACATTGCCTTTTTGTGGTTTTTTTTTTTTTAAGATATATTTATTTATTTATACAAGCACTGGGTACAGTCAAAAGCGCAGGAAGGTGAGAGAATTCACCAGAGTCAGAGGGGAGAGCAGAGCAGGCAGAAGGACCGAAGCACACTGCTAAGGGGAGCAGCGGGCGGCAGGAGAGGTCTGCGCGCCCTGTGGGACCCTTGCCAGCGGCCAGGGATCAAACCAGTGCTTCAGAGGCTGTGGGCAGCTTCGCAACCCAGCGCTCAACCGCTGCGCCACCAGGGAGGCCCTGTGGGTTTTATTTTTATGGAGGAAGTAAATGAAGCTTCTAAGTCAACATTTAAATGATTTACAAAAACTTAAAAAAAACGTAATTCTTCTCTCTTTTTTGGTTTAGAAATATTATTCTCATAAAATTAATTAGAAATTAAAAATTAAATTTCTAAAACATGTTATTTTATAATGAATTAACATTTAAGTCTTCAGTTTTATTTTCTACCACAGTGAATTTTGGTATAGTTCACAGAAAGAAAAACAACTTGGGATCCCTAATAATTTTTAATATTGCAAAGGGAAATTGGGACCAAAACTTTGGGAGCTACTACTCCACGGAATTATACAGGAAGTAAGACAGCCTCCTAATCAGGTTGGTGCTGAGCACGACGGGGGGCAGGGGTTAATAAAATGTGCTGAAGATTTGGCGGCAAAGTGAGACCCCTACACTTAGATTTTTATACTTACAACTGAATAGTACGAGCTTCCTAATTTAGCTCCCAGAATGGTAATCTGGTTTATATCCACCAAGCGTGGACTGATAGCAATGTCAGCAGGGGAAACAAACCAAAGAGAAGTCAACAGAATAAACACTTCAGTCAAATCATCCTTCAGTCCAATAATGGAAAAGTTCCAATTACTGTTTTAGTCCCTTCACCAACAGTACTTAACATGAAATACTGAGAGCAAAACCAGCAGCACAAAGGACAAGAAAAACCTTAAGGAAAAATAGTTGTCACTGAAACAAAGCAAAGATCTATAAAAAAAAAATCACCACAGAGCAGTGAGGTGCCTTCACAAATGAGATACAGCTCCCAAGTCAGAGGATGGCACACGAACTGTGATGGTTCACAATCAAAACACGAAGCACATTCTAGGAGACTAAAAGAAACACTTTGGGATTTTTTTAAAGATTTATTTTTATTTATTTATGCATAGAACTGGGGTGTAGGCCAGAGGTGCAGGGGGTGTGAAGATTCATCAGAGTGGGGAGCAGAACAGGCAGATCGGCTGAAATACATTGCTGAGGGGAGCGGAGGGCAAGACAGGAGAGGTCTGCTGCGCATGCCTGGCCGGGCCATCGTGGTGACAGTGCTAAGACTTAACCCCTACGTCACCAGGGAGGCCTGAAACACCTTGGACTTTAACTTGTGCTCTTTCTCCTGCCACGCCATATCCTTTACCTTTATTAAAACATGGCATGAGTGTAGGAGTCTTTTCAGCATTATCTGACCCTGTAATTGCTCAAGAAGCTGAGAGTGGCTCTAACAGCTCACTCAGCTGGCTGAGTAAAATGCAGACAGAGTCATCCTACATTAAAATCAAGATGGCCAGAATTCCCTTGGTTAATACAGAACCATGGTTCTCAAAGGGTGGTCCCCAGACTAACAGCACCAAGATCACCTAGGGAAAACTCTCAAGCCTACTCCACAGCTACTAAATCAGAAACTCTCAGGGGAACTCACAGTGTATCAGATGTGATACATGCAAAATTTTGAAAGCCCCTGATACAGAAGAAACCCCCACACATGGCAGATAGGAGTAGAAATGCATTTATTATGTGGTTTGCTTTCTGACTCCCTAGGTGTCCCACAAGGATTGAGAAAACATTCCCTTCATCTATGATTTGAGAAATACATTGGTAAAGCTCTGTCGTGATAATTACCAGCATGCCAAGGATGATGGTGAAATATGCTGCCCTTGTTACAGACTCACTATAATTATCGAGAATGACGGAATCTCAGAGTGACAGCAACCAAGAAGAGTCACTTAACCACAAGGCATATGCCACCAATATAATGGCAGAGGAGGGCACCAATTAAAATGACTTGACACATATAAATCTGTGGCAGTGACTGATCATGATACTCCTAGAACGGAACTGGAGGAAGTCTCCTGAGGTTTTCCTTTCTATGGGAACAAACCCTAAGCCTGAGGTGAAGCCCTGCCCACATCACTGCAAGAGTCACTGCCCTCATCGAGGTCCCAGAACTGAATGAGCCCAAAATCTCACTGATGGTGACAGCGGGTACCCTTGAGAAAGGGCTCTTGCTCTGCTGGCAAATGTTTCTACAGAAAGTACTCCTCCTAGTCTTCCTCAAAGGGGGGTGAGGCTATTCACTTATCAGATGTCTGTGCATGAGAGGGAAACACCCAGACCACCTGACTGCAGGTCACCAAGTTCCTGCTGCACCCTGAGCTGCCCAGTACAAAGTGGGTGTCTGGTTCATTAAGCACAGCATGACCGGCACAGCAGCAACCATCACACAGACTCATTGTACAGAAGAGGTCTGCTGCGCCATGTGGGTCAGATCCCTGGCCGGGCCATCGTGGTGACAGTGCTGAGACTTAACGAGGCCCCAGAGGCATGGACACTGTGCAGGCAAATCACCTGTCATCCATGACATCTACTGACCATTTGTGTTGCATGCTATTCCCTCTCTCACCACACACCTGCACAGTCACTATAAAACTAAGATAATCAGAGGAAAGGCGGGGAGCATGGAAAGGAAAGAGGGGGGCACGTGGACTACAGTGGAGCATTGTGTGGTGTGACCACCCAAAGAGGTGGGATCTTGTTCATATACAGTGTTGTAAACCTGTGTTACCTTAATTTTTTTAATTGTAGTTCTTAAAAGGGGGAGGGATATTCTCTGATCAATGATTGAAGAAAAATTTCTGATTTCACTTAGAGACAGTTTACAAGAAATAGTAAAATGACCCAAAAGTGGATGGCAGCAGTATTATAGCCCAATTTATGAATTTTCCTTTAGTAGCTGAGGAAAACCACCCACGCAAGACAATGTTATGCTTCCCACTCCCAAAACTCAATGTTCTGCTGGTCTAAAGGTCGAAATTCCCAAAGACACAAAGCTTTCACCACGGAGTCACAACAAGGTTCTCTTGAACTGGAAGCTCAGACCACCACCTGGTCACTCCCTGTTCCTCATGCCCCTAAACTAATAGGTAAGAGAAGGTTACTGTATTGGCTGGGGTACTTGATTCAGTTTATAGGAGGAAATAGAATGGGTAGTAAATGAAAGACCAGAGGATATTAAATGAAAGACCAGAGGAC